TCTCACTTCAGCCTCCCAAAGGCGCGGGATTACAGGCTGAGCCACCGAGCCCGGCTGGGACCCTATTTTGCTAACCAAAATTCAAGGCATGGATAGGACTGATTTATTTTGTCATTTGAGGTTTACATAGTTGTAAAAACTAATTCCTTTTTTTGAGTTGGAGTCTCACTCTGTCTCCTGGGCTGGAGTGCAGGGCACACTCAGCCACCACAGCCTCAGCCTGCTGGGCTCAGGTGATCCTTCTGCCTCAGCCTTCCAGGTAGCTGGAACTACTGGAACTACATGTGTGCTCCACCATGCCTGGCTTTTTTTTTTTTTTTAATTGTAGAGACGAGGTCTCGCCAAGTTGTCCAGACTGGTCTCGAACTCCTGGTCTCAGGCAATCGTCTTACCTTGGCCTCACAAAGTGTTGGGATTACAGACTTGAGCCACCGTGCCCGGTCCACGTTTTTTGTTCTTCTTGTTGTTGTTTGCTTGTTTTGAGTCAGGGTCTCACCTGTCTGTCGCCCAGACTGGAATGCAGTGGCATAATCATGGCTCCCCGCAGCCTTGCCCAACCTTGCTAATTTTTTAATTTTTTGTAGCAACAGGGTCTTGCTTCGCTGCCCAGGCTGGTCTCAAACTCCTGGGCTTGAGCATTCCTCTCACCTCAGCCTCCAAAAGTGCAGGGATTACAGGTGTGAGCCACCGTGCCCAGCCATAATTCATATTATTGAAAAAAAATTTTTTTTTGAGTTGAAGTCTCTCTGTCGCCCAGACTGGAGTGCAGTGGCTGCTCCCGGCCACCGCAGCCTCGACCTGCTGGGCTCTGGGGATCCTTCCACTCAGCCTTCCAAGTAGCTGGAACTACAGGCGTGTGCTACCACACCCAGCTGATTTTTGATTTATTGTGGAGATGAGGTCTTGCCAAGTTGCCGAGGTGGGTCTTGAACCCTCGGGCTCAAGCAATTCACTCACCTTGGCCTCCCAAAGCATGGGATTACAGACTGAGCCACCAAGCCCGGCCGACAAATTTTTTTTTTTTTTTTTTTTTTTTTTTTTTGAGTTGGAGTCTCATTCTGTCACCCAGACTGGAGTGCAGTGGCCGCTTCTGGCCACCGCAGCCTTGACCTGCTGGGCTCTGGCGATCCTTCCTCCTCAGCCTTCCGAGTAGCCGGAATTGCAGGCATGGACAAATTTTTTTTTTTTAAAAACCATTAGTTGAGATGGTCCCTGAAGGTCTGGGGCATGTGGTTCCTATTTAGACTGGGAGAGAGAGACTAAAAGTCTGATGCTTAAGGCCTCAGCACAGGCTGGGGTTCCAGAGATCTGAGGTCAAGTCAATCTCGGGTAGCCATGGTGTGTGTGAACAGCTGAGTGGTCTTCCTGGTGCCTGGGCTGAAGGGGAGTACTAGCCTGAAGTGCCTGAGCAAAGGCTGTATGCAGCACGCCCCTACTGTGAGGCTGGCCTTGCAAGGGGGTGCGACCTACCGAGGGCATTCTTCAGTGCTCTCCTGGTGCTAGCTCTGGGAGAGCTGAGTGGGAGCGGGCAACCCCCCAGTCCCTTGCAGTCCTGTGAGCACCATCTCCCCCTTACCCCCCCTCCCCGCCTCACTCCACCCCGAGACCTGAGACCCCGTGCCTCTGTTTGGGGTTCTGCCGCAGACCACAAGGACGTGCTGGCCCACGTGGCAGCTCACGGCCCAGAGAACCCAAAATTAGAGAGGTTGGAAGAGGTCCTGCAGGAGCAATTTGGGAGCCCCGGAACCCCCCGGGGCATCATCTTCACTCGCACCCGTCAGAGTGCGCACTGCCTCCTGCTCTGGGTCCAGCAGCAGCCAGGCCTGCAGAACCTGAACGTCAGGGCCCAGATGCTGATTGGGGCAGGAAACAGCAGCCAGAGCACACACATGACTCAGGTATGGGCTCTGGGATGAGTTTTCCAGGAGAGAAGAGGGTGGGGACAGGGAGACCCTGGGGGAGACAAGAGGTTGCATATCCCCAGGCAGGGACAGAGAGCTGGGAAGGGGGTGACCACTGAGATTCCTTGTGCTGAAGGTTCCCCCCGTCTGGGGGTCTCTGGGGGAAGAGGGCCTGGGGGTCTGTAGGGAAAGAGGTGGACAAGGCACTTCCTCAGGGTGGAAGATCAGGGGTCTGGGGTCCCTTGCAGGAGACGAACGTCCCTTGCCTGGGCGTTCTTAGGCTAGCGGGGCAAGGGCCTTAAGAGCCCCCAAGGAAGAGAGCGGTCGGGTGATCATCTGGAAAGATGGCCAAGATCCTGGGGAAACTTGGGGTTAGAGGTGGCATTCAAGGTTGCTAGGGAGACAGGCCAAATTGTGAGGGCAAGAGAGGCCACTCTGGCAGGTGGGTGGTCTGAAGGCACCTCGTGTCCCAGCCTCTCTCTCCACCCCGCCCCACCCCCCCAGAGGGAGCAGCAGGACATAATCTGGAAGTTCCGGGACGGCACCTTGAACCTTCTGGTGGCCACCAGTGTGGCGGAGGAGGGGCTGGACATCCCGCAGTGCAGTGTGGTGGTGCGCTACGGGCTCCTGACCAACGAGATCTCCATGGTCCAGGTGCTCAGACACCCCCTCCCCGCAGTGGTCCTCAGAGGCTCCCGTGTGGAACCCCAGCCCCAGTCAGGCTTGTTTCCCTCCACAGGCAAGGGGCCGTGCCCGGGCCAGTCAGAGCGTCTACTCGTTCATGGCTACTGAGGGTAGCCAGGAGCTACGGCGAGAGCTGACCAACGAGATGCTGGAGGCACTCATGGAGCAGGCAGTGGCCGCTGTGCAGAAGATGGACCCGGCTGAGTACCAAGCCAAGGTCTGCAGGCAGCTTGCATGCCCTGCACAGGGGACGGCAGGAGGGGGAGGCACTGCCTGGCAGGTCTCTGACTGCACCAGGCACCCCTGACCCCTCCGTGTCGGGGCTACCTTAGGGAAGGTTTGAATGGAGGGAAGGACAGAGGGACAGAGGCCAGGGGCCAGGCTGCCAGGAAGGCAGTGAGTCGTCCCCAGGAGGCCTCGGGAGCCGGCCCTGTCCACTGCTTTTTTTGGTCCCCATCACCAGACACTGTGCGTTATCTGTGAGAGCTGTCTTGCAGTCCCCTGGAGCCAGGCAGAGGGGGCAAGATAAGTCCAAAACCAGGACTTGTATCATCGGTTCCTCTGAGGCAGGGTCACCATCGTCCAGGGTATTTTTTTATTTTTTATTTTTGAGTCAGGATCTCACTCTGTCACCCAGCCTGGAGTGCGGTAGCACAATCACAACTCACCGTACACCTCCTGGGCTCAGGTGATCCTTCTACCTCCGGTGCATACCATCACGCCCGGCTACTTTTTTGTAATTTTGTGTAGAGACGAGGCCTTGCCACATTGCCCAGGCTGGGCTCAGGCGATCCTCCTGCTTCAGCCTCCCAAAGGGCTGGGATTACAGATGTGAGCCATCACACCGGCCTCCAGCACAATTATTAAGGCTGCCCCATGACAGAGTCACAGAAGCAGCTTTGCCTAAAACCCTCCAAAGGTGGGACAAAAATTCCACAAGAAGATTTGCCTCTCCTTTGGTTACCCCTCCCACCTCCTCTCCCCCCACCTCCTCTCCCCCCCATCCCATAATATTTGTCTCCACAGAGCCCCTTCTGAAAACTCCAGGAGGGTTGAGGAAACTCTTCTGGGTACCAATGATCACAGGGCTTTGCTTTGAGAACCCTGTGTCTCCCTGCGAGCATTCTCCTAGGCCCCAGCCATACTCAGATATCCCCGTCCCCCAGATCCAGGACCTGCAGCGGGCAGCCCTGGTGAAGCGAGCAGCCCAGGTGGCCCAGCAGGAGAGTCAGCAGCAGCAGTTCCTGGCCGAGCATGTGCAGCTATTCTGCATCAGCTGCATGGTGGCCGTGGGCCACGGGAGTGACCTGCGGAAGGTGGAGGGGACCCACCATGTCAATGTGAACCCCAACTTCTCGTGAGAGCTGTGGCAGGGGCTGTTGGGTTGGGGGTACAGGATGGGAGACTGAGACAGAGCTCTGAGGCTTTGGGTATATATATATTTTTTTGAGTTGGAGTCTCACTGTGTAGCCCAGGCTGGAGTGCAGTGGCACACTCACAGCCACTGCAGCCTCGACCTGCTGGGCTCCGGCGATCCTTCCACCTCAGCCTTCCAAGTAGCTGAAACTATAGGTGTGTGCCACCATGCCCAGCTAATTTTTTTGATTTATTGTAGAGACAAGGTCTGGCCAAGTTGCCCAGGCTGGTCTTGAACCCTTGGGCTCAGGCAATCCTCTGGCCTCCATCTCCCAAAGTGCTGGGATGATAGGCATGAGCCACCGTACCCAGCAGTTTTGGGTATTTAAACAAGTGCCGACTTTGTATTTGCACAATTATCTGGTTAGACAGGTTTAATCCTCACTCACATTTTACAGGTGAGGAGCTAGAGGATCAGAGAGGTTAAGTGACTTGCTCAAACTCTCACAGCCCTGGTTGAGTAAGCTCCGAATTCAGGGTACCAAGTGCTGAGAGACCACATGCTGGTCCCCTGGTCCTGCCCACTCTGAGGACATCAACAGCCCCTAGCCATTCTTTTTTTTTTTTTTTGAGTCAGTTTCCCTCTGTCACCCAGGCTGGAGTGCAGTGGCAGCACCCTCAGAGCTCACTTCAGTCTCAACCTCTTTGGCTCAGGAGAGCCTCACACCTCAGCCTCGCAAGTAACTGGGACTACAGGTGCACATCACCACGCCTGGCTAATTTTTTTTTTTTTTGAGTTGGAGTCTCACTCTATCACTGAGGCTCTGGAGTGCAGTGGCATGCTCATGGCCACCCAGTGTTGACCCGCTGGGCTCTGGTGATCCTTCCGCCACAGCCTTCCAAGTAGCTGGAACTACAGGTGCGCACTACCATGCCCAATTAATTTTTTGATTTGTTGTAGAGACGAGGTCTCGCCAAGTTGCTGGGGCGGGACTCGAACATGCAGGCTCAGGCAACCCACTAGCTTTGGCCTCCCAAAGTACTGGGATTACAGGCTGAGCCACTGAGCTCAGCTGGCTAATTTTTTGTAGAGACGAGAGCTTCCCATGTTGTCCAGCCTGGTCTCGAACTTCTGGGCTCAAGCAGCCCTCCCACCTTGGTGCTGGGATGATAGGTGTGAGCTACCGCACCTGGTCCCTCCATCCATTCATTAAGTAATCATTTATTAGGCATCTACTGTGTGCCAGGTCACTGTGCCAAGGATCTTCACATGAGATCTTTCATTTGAGGACGCAGCATTTCAGCTGAGTCTCAAAGGATAAGTTGGGTTTGTGCGAAAAGATGAGGCGGTGAGTGGAGGCAGGGACGTGGCGGCCAGGGGCAGGGCGGACCCAGTCAACCTGAGTGGGAAGAACTGAAAAATGAGATTCAGAGGGAGACAGACCAGCCCATGGAGGCTCTGGAACCTCGGGCCTGAAAGTGTAGCCTTTATTCAGTAGGTTTCTCTTTAGGAGTCTTGGATGGATTTTGAGATTCCAAGCAAGGGAATGTCAGGGCAGATTTATATTTTTAGATTACGCTAAGGCTGGGCGCATGGTTCAAGCCTGTAGTCCCAGCACTTTGCGACTCCAAGGAAGCGGGATTGCTAGAGGCCAGGACTTGGAGACCAGCCTGAGCAACAAAGGAAGACCCTCTCTACAAAAAAATTTTAAAAATTAGCCAGGCATGGTGGCACCTGCCTATAATCCCAGCTACTCAGGAGGCTGAGGCAGGAAGGTTGCTTGAGCCCAGGAGGTCAAGACTGCAGTGAACTATGATCACAGCACTGGACTCCAGGCTGGGCAGTAGAGCAATAGATCACTTTAGCAGTTGGATGGTTTGAGACTGGGAGTGAGGGTAGAGGCAGGGAGACCTGTTAGGAGACTGTGGAGGTCACCCAAGTGAGTGACTCAAAGGCCTGAACTTGGTCACAAGGGAGTCCAAAGCAGGCAGAACTCACCGGATCACCCAGCCTTGGAAGGCTGCGCCCCTTGTCGGGTGGAAGGGCCAAGGCCCAGGCAGAGGCTCAGCCAGCAGGAGCGCATGAGATCGGGGGTGGGGGATGGACGAGGGTGATGGCCACCCCCGTTCCTCTCCAGGATCTACTACAACGTCTCCAGGAAGCCTGTAGTCATCGACAGAGTCTTCAAGGATTGGAGGCCTGGAGGTGCCATTAGCTGCAAGAACTGTGGGGAGGTAAGTATTTGGCCCAGCCTTCAGAGGCCCTCAGTCTGACGGAGGAGGCTCAGCCTCTGCCCTCAGCCCGAGTCTTCAGAGGCTCTCAGTTTGACAGAGGAGACTCAGTCTCTGCCCTGCGCCCTAGTTTTCAGAGGCCGTCATTCTGATGGAGGAGGCTCAGCCTCTGCCCTGGGCCCTGGTCCTTGGTATTCAGAGGCTGTCAGTCTGACGGGGGAGGCTCAGTCTTTGCCCTGGACCCAGTCTTCAGAGGCCATCAGTCTGATGGAGGAGACTCAGCCTCTGCTCTGTGCCCTAGTTTTCAGAGGCTGTCATTCTGATGGAGGAGGCTTGGCCTCTGTCCTGGGCCCCAGTTTTCAGAGGCCTTTAGTCTGACAGAGGAAGCTCAGCCTCTGCCCTCAGCCCATCTTCAGAGGCTCTCAGTCTGACACAGGAGGCTCAGTGCCCTAGTTTTCAGAGGCTGTCACTCTGATGGAGGAGGCTCGGCCTCTGCCCTGGGCCCTGGTCTTCAGAGGCCGTCATTCTGACGGGGGAGGCTCAGTCTCTGCCCTGGACCCAGTCTTCAGAGGCTGTCAGTCTGACAGGGGAGGCTCAGCCTCTGCCCTCGGTCCCAGTCTTCAGAGGCTCTTAGTCTGATGGAGGAGGCTCAGCCTCTTCCCTCGGCTGCTGTCTTCAAAGGCTGTCAGTCTGACAGAGAAGACTCAGCCTCTGCCCCGGGCCCTGGTCTTCAGAGGCCGTCAGTCTGACGGGGGAGGCTCAGCCTCGGCCCTCAGGGAGCCCTCACTCGAATAGGGGAGATAGTCCTGCCCCAGGATCCCCCAGCCTGAGGAGGAGCCCAGCCCCCACCTAAGCATGCCCCCAGTGTGATGGAGATGCCAGTTCTCAGTCTCAGGGGCGACGCAGGCCCACAGAATTCCAGCCTGAGGCGAGAAGCCCAGTCTGAGGGCAGAGACCCAGCCCTGTCCTCTGTGTCCCACCCCTAGGTCTGGGGCCTGCAGATGATGTACAAGTCAGTGAAGCTGCCGGTGCTCAAGGTCCGCAGCATGTTGCTGGAGACCCCTCAGGGGCGAGTCCGGCCTAAAAAGTGGTCCCGCGTACCCTTCCCCGTGCTCGACTTCGACTTCCTGCAGCACTGTGCTCAGAGCCTGGCCGACCTTTCTCTGAACTGACCACCCTGTCGCTGCAGTGCCCAGCTCAGGCTGCAGGGGGCAAGAGAGTCCGCAGCAGCCATCCTCCTCCCAGGCCCTTCCCTCCCATACCACGGGCTCTGGGCATCGTGCTGACCGCTGCAGAGGACGCCCGCAGCGCCTGAGTTGGCTTGGGCTCCCGTGGTAAGGAGGCAGCCAGAGGACCACAGCTCTGCCCCAAGACCCACCTCACACACACAGACTTTCAGTACTGGAGAGTCCAGGGGAAACCGAGGCAGCAGACGTGCAGTCCTGTACTAGCAATCATGACAGCTCTTCTCTGCAAGGCCACTTCTGTTTTTTGAGGCTCCTCATAAGTTAAATAAAGGAAAAACGGGGCCGAAAATGTGTGGTGTTTTAAACACAACTTTGTTGGGATATAATCAACATAAAATAAACTGTACGCAGAGTAGGCTATTTGATCAGTTTTTGTTTTTGTTTTTGAGCCGGAGTCTCACTCTGTCACCCAGACTGGAGTGCAGTAGCACTCTCAGTCACCATAGCCTTGACCTGCTAGGCTCAGGCAATCCTTCCACCTCAGCCTTCCAAATAGCTGGAACCACAGGCATGTGCCACCATACCCAGCTAATTTTTTTTTTTTTTAATTTTAGAGACAAGGTCTCACCATGTTGCTCAGGCTGGTCTCGAACCCCTGAGCTCCGGCAATCTTCTCACCTCTGCTTCCCAAAGTGCTGGTATTACAGGCGTGAGGCATCACGCCTGGCAGTTTTGATCAGTTTTGAACAAAAGTATGCTCCTCCATAATCAAGGTAACAGAGCCATACCCTCAAAAATTTCCTGGGTCCCCAACGCGGTCCACACCTCTCACCTCTCCCCATCCACTGATCTGCTGTGTGGTAATTTTTTTTTCTTAGATTGGAAAATATAGTTTATTTAGAAAGGAAATTGAAGAAAGAGAGAGGATTCACCTCCCAAGGTAAGGGAGGGGGTCAAAGCTTAAGAAAACAATGGTGGCCATAGCCTAGAGAACCCCATGGCCAGATCACAGCTTAGCAAAGCAATGGCCGTGTTACAAGTTTTGAACTGGCCTGGTGTGGTAGCTCACACCTGTAATTCAAGCACTTTGGGAGGCTGAGGGGTAGGATTGCTTGAGCCTAGGCGTTCAAGACCAGCTTGAGCAAAATAGATTCCGTCTCTATAAAAAAATTTTTTTTTTTTTTTTGAGTTGGAGTCTCACTCTGTCACCCAGACTGGAGAGCAGTGACATACTCCCAGCCACCGCAACCTCGACCTGCTGGACTCTGGCGATCCTTCCGCCTCA